GCTAGTTTCTCTGTCCTGTTCACGTGTGTTTTTGTTCGGGAGGTTTTGTACTCGTTCAGAAGATGCATAATAGCGCCCCCGAGTGTATAACAGTGAAAACACGAAAAGCCGGAAAAACTCGTCTTTGGCGGGGAAGCGTTTTCTTCTAAAAGACGAGATAACTCGTCAATGGCGGGGAAAGAGTTAAAGGCCAGGCATAAAATGCAACACAATATGTAACAGGTTCCTGCTCCAATTTTCTGACCCCCCCTTGGCCTGAAAAAAAGTCGAAGACCCCTGAGCTATGGAAATTGGCTCAGTTGTACGTTGAGAGGTGAATGTGTGTGGGATTTGGTGCAGTACTGTTTTCCTTCCACATGCTTCCTCCCTTCTTTATGCCTTTGAAAAGAGATTTATTGTATAACAATTAAGCAGGACCTGAAGGCCTGCAGATAAGCATTCTAAGAGCCATAGAAGCTATATTTTATTCATAGGAAATATTTGATCCATATGCTTAATGAGAAAACACAAACAAATCAGCCCTTTCAGTACCCTGGTTCATAAATCACACAAAGCGCTCGAGAAACAGTGGGTGAAACTCGAGCGCTTGCTTATGGCTTCCAAAGCAGTCAGTTCAAAAGGAGACGAATGACATCGCCTGGGACACAAAGGCAGCCATATGTCTTGATGAAGGTTTAACCAAACAGAGATTGAGTGGAGGGATTTTTGTGTTTCATAAACAATGAGGAGGGCGTTAAATGGCTGATCTATTCTGGAAACGCATAAAATCTTTGAACATACCTGTTTTTGGGAACAGGCTGTAAGAAACATCTATACAGTGGGTACGGAAAGTATTCAGACCCCCTTAAATTTTTCACTCAGATAACATTTCACTTCTGAGAGAAAACTGAAACAGATGAGGCCTTGATGCGCAAGTCTTTCATATTAGCTTCAAAGTTTAAGGTAGATTCTTAAATTTTGATGGAAGAAAAATAGGTTATTTATTGTAAGAATATGCTACAGGTTATAATTTATAAATTCTGACTAAGGATGATCGAGTTATATAGATATATATAAGCTAATTAATCAGCCATTTTGACAATTAGCTCTCGTATCGGTGCCAAAATCTACCTAAAAACCTTGATAAAAAAAATAAACTTTCTTGTAAAACATTTTCGGTAAGCATGAATTTGGGGTAATACTGGCCAAAATCCTTTAAGAAAATCTAACAGTACTGGTTTGAGCAGTCCTCAGATGCAATTTCAAGAAGTAT